TTATTTTATAAAGATTTTAATTAAAATTAAATATCTGATTTTGAAAATATTAAATTTTCAATCTGATTTTAGAAGTTTAAAAACTTAAAGTATGGTTTCATGTAATTACCACTTATTCTAATTTAACGGTCTCCCATAGACAAAGTAAGGCCTTCCATGAAGCACACTTAATCTTTCAGAATCATTTTCAAACTTGAAAATCAACCAACCACTCTTGTGAACAAAGTATTGGTAGTTTACCTTCCATGAGTTACATAATTGTAGCAAGGCTGATTTCCCCAAGAATCTACCCACAAAATATCCGACAAGGCAGTACCCCGAAGACTCCTCAACATCATATGCATCATTTTCAGTAAAATTTAGACGGAGACATCAACTAGCTCAAATAATTCACTACAACAAAAGTCTGTTTTTACGGTATTCATTTACGGAGTGCATTTACTGCACGCTGTAGAAAGTATGTTTTTACGGCGTGCTTTAAATTCACGTCGTAAAAAATGAATTATTTAAAGTATTTACGGCATACAATTAGAGCACGCCGTAAATGGTCTATTATTATGACGTAAAATTTGTGCATGCCGTAAATGGTTCATTTTTTATTTTTTTGAAAAATAAATTTACGGCATGCTAGTGTACGCCGTAAAAAGGATTTTTTTTTCCCCTAACGGGTTTTGTCCTCTTCCTTTCTTTTCATTTCCTTTTTTCATCCCCAAACTCGCACGGTTTCTTCCTGGCTTCTTTTTTCTCCTCTCTTTCCATTAATCTTTCTTCTTTTTCCCTAAATCTTCAAATCATTTCCAAATTTTCATCGGAGGTGGCCTCTTCATCAATCGCCCGTTTAAAATTTTTGAGCGGGATTTTCATCAATCACCCATTTCCAGATTTTCATCGGAGTTGTGGTAACTAGCCATGTTTCTAACGATTCATTGTGACTCGTTCTTGGTTCCTTCTTACTCGGAGCAACTTGTTGTGTTCTATAACAAATTCTAGAATTATTGATCTGATTCTGGTATTTTTGTATACAGTGCGTGTTAAACTTAGGGTTTTGAGTTTGGTATATTTTAACCTTACTCTCTTAATTTACTTTATTGTACAAAATTATAATATATGAGAAATTATTATATTTAGTGGAAATTTTCAGTTTTCAGTTTTGGCTCTGTTCTCGTGATACGTTTATATAAACAGATTCCAATAATTAATATAAATTAAGGATTCTGAATATTCAGAGTTTTTACGAGAGGCCGAATATTACCAGCTTATTGTAAGGAATTCATTTCTCTTGCTAAATTTTCCACTTTCTAGCTTGTTGTTTTGCCTGTACCCTTATATTCCCTTTAAGTATTTGAGATTGCTAATGCTTGAAAATATGTGGTCAAACCTTGTCTATGGTAGGAGT